ACTTATGCCAATAAATACCCCCCTTGTTATAAGTCTTCACAATAGTTAATCAATTTCATTCCTCTGATTTCTGTTACTCTCATGCCATGTGCAATATGATAACAGCACATAGCTTTCCATTTTTGCAACTAATTAATTAACTAATTACAGTCACATTCAAATTACATTATCTTCCTAAATTTTGGCTCTAACAAATGCCAACTTTAATTGCATACCTCACAGAAACTTTTCAAGTTCAGAAAGCTCAAACACTTCACGAAGCAATGATTGTGTTGAAATAACAGTTCAGAGGTTTATAAAAATGAACCCTGCTTAGAAACTGGACTGCCCTACCACATCATCCAACAGGGTGGCAATTTTCATAGCATTTATTATAAAGAAAGTAGATGGATCCAGAAATAAACAGGTTGGAAGAAATGATTCAGTTTATTAAGACTGAAAGCACTCTACAGATGCTTAAAGACTTTAATGTTTCCTCGGTCAGTGGCACAGGAAAACTTCCCCAATCATCCTAAGGAAAATTCTACTTTATTTTGCCACTGAGGATAGCATCTGTTGTGGTTGCTTCATGTTTCCATTCATTGTGCAAAACATGCTAATGTCTGCATGTTCCTGCCTACAAACTGGAGCGGCACAAGATTATGTAAAATAATAATGAAAATAATAAACCATCCTCCCTTGGAAGCTTGTGGGAAACACGAAATTTGGTAATTTAGTAAAAATCATTTTAAAACAATTTGGCCATTAGTTAATAGTACAAAACTTTTTAATTATTGTTTGTTTTACGATATTGCTTGAATTCTATGTAGAAGCCATTGTTCCAAACAGAGACTTTTCAACAGAGCTTTTGTCTCTTGTTTTTATATCAATCCTAATGATTGAAACAAAGGTTCCCGAAAGCTAGGCTGCACACACCACTAAGCCACATGCCCAATGATTTTACCTTTGTGGTTTACTTGTTGCTTTGTTCACTTTTATGCTTGTTTGGAACAATATCTCAATACATTGTACATCCTGTCGTTGAACTCACTCTGCAGCTCAGGCTAACCATGAACTTCCAACCCTCCTGCTTCAGCTTCCTGTGTAACCAGGATTTCAGGTCTAAACCACTGACAAGAATTCCTGGATAGAAACTGTGTCTGAAGAGAATGAGTGACTAACTAGAATAAAATTTGTGCATCAGTGTAGGAATGTTACAAGTTCAGGAGCTTTTAGCACCCTAATAGGCCCATTCCTCGCCCACCTATGTGTTGGAACTAATATCCTGTAACTCATAGACAAAAAACCTTTTGGAATCATTTAACTTAGTAAACCACTAGCTTCCCCCAGCCACAAAGCTAAGAATGTCTGGTATAGAATCTGAGCTCTATAGGACAGAGTACTTCAACTTGCTGTGACTAACTACTTCTCTGATGTACTCAGCGGCATTTTTAAACTTTCCTGGATTTCTGACTGGCTTTGTTCTATAAAATTATAAAACTCCATGAAACTGCATTCCTCTTGGAATATGGAATGTGGGGAATGCTAAATCTTTGTTCCCAGGCTGTAGCCACTCAGATTTGGTTCTGGAATAAATGCTCTTGCTCCCTTTAAGGAAAGAGTTGTGCTTTCTTCATAGACAACACCACATGAATCTATTTCTTCAGAGCCCATATATCTCTCCATGGTGCAAAATAATTTTCATGAGGCCCAAGGACTGTCTTTATGGGCTTTTTTTTGCCCGTAAGCAACCAAAAACTATATTTTACAACTGTGTTGATTAAAATAAAATAAAATATATTCATACAAAATATCAATTTATCCCAACCTAAAATTCATTAT